GGTGGATGGGGCGGGGTTGGGGCGGGAGGAGGCAATGCTGATAGCTGAGGCCTCGGCTCCCTCCCTGCCCTCACAGCAGCTCCCTCCCACTCTCTGATGTGAGCTCCTGCCACTGCTTCAGGATTCCCAAAACCCAGCTCACCCCTGGCCTCGGGGCTGATCATGCATGCCTGGCCGGGATGGGATGGCTCCGTGAGGAGAGCGGGGCTGCAGGAGAGGCTGTGGGGCGGGCAGGGTGTTGGGTGCCCCCGGCCGTGGGGAAACGGCTGAGACATCCCTCATCTCCCTGCAGGGGTCCGGCACACAGGAAGGCCGGGTGGCCATGGCAGCAGAGATGGTGCTGAACCACCGGGTGCCCCACAAGGCGCTGAGCGAGGCTGACCTGGAGGAGGTGGCACAGCGGAAACCTCCTGCCAAGCCCTCGCTGCACAGCTGTCTCCGCAAGATCAGGTAGGACTGCGCCGGCTGGAGAGATGTGCCTAGACCTCGCCAGGCACCGTGCGCCCCAGCCCTGCTGCCTGGCTCTGGCTGTCTCAGTTCCTGGGGTAGACACGGAGCAGACCTGGAGTTGGTTCCCTCTACCCCAAACGCTGTTGTTCCTACTCTGTCCTGCTGCCTGGAGGGACAACTGGCTCCAGCAGATGGAGCTGGGGGTCTGGCAGGACACTTTGCTTCCCATGGCCACCCCCGCTGATGTCCCCAAGCCCTCATGCTTGTGCTCAGCCCTGGCTCCCGCTCCTTCCCTGCCAGATGCTCGGCCTCCACCGCCAAGTCCCTGCTCTTCCGGTTCCTGCCCTTCCTGAGCTGGCTGCCCCGCTACCCGGTCAAGGACTGGCTCCTGGGGGACATCATCTCGGGCTTCAGCGTGGGCATCATGCACCTGCCCCAGGGTGAGCGATGCCATGCCCAGGCTGCCAGGGGCTCCCAACAGGTTGGGGGACCAGGGCTTGGCCATTTGTGACGTGTGTCCCTGCTCCACTATGTCCAGGGCTTGCCTACGCACTGCTGGCTGGAGTGCCGCCCGTCACTGGTCTCTACTCCTCCTTTTACCCCGTCTTCCTCTACTTCTTCTTCGGGACGTCCAGGCACAACTCTGTGGGTGAGCTGAGGGACCATGTGCTCCCACGGGGATGGTGGGGAGGGAGTGAGGATGAGGGGCGAGCCTTCATCCCACAGCACAGCATTGCCACATCAACGAGGGGGGGGACCTTTCTTCCCTTTACTTCGCCCCCACCAAGAAGGTGGTTGGCCATACCAGAGCCAAAGCACAGTGGGTGCACTTGGAGCCCAGCCCAATGGGACAGGTGACTGTGGACCTCAGAGAGGTCCTGGTGCTGACCTTGGGCTGCCCACACCCTGCCTGTCCCCAGGGCCCTTCGCTGTCATCTCTGTCATGATCGGGAGCCTGACGGAGTCCCTGCTGCCCAGTGAGAACTTCATGGAGTCCGTCAATGGCAGCAACTTGACAGTCAATGAGCAATTGCGGGACGCTGCCAGGGTGGAGCTGGTGGCCACCATCACTGTCCTGACAGGTGTCTTCCAGGTAAGGGGCCCCAGCCTAGCCTGGCAGAGCACAGGGGGCCGTGGTGACCCAGTGCCACAAGCTGTGGCTTCTGCCACCTCTCTTTCCAGGTGGCCCTGGGCCTACTGCAGTTCGGATTTGTTGTGACCTACCTCTCAGAACCACTGGTGCGTGGCTACATCACCGCTGCCTCCATGCATGTCCTCGTCTCCCAGCTCAAGAATGTCTTCGGGGTGACCCTAAGCAAGCACTCAGGGCCACTCTCACTCTTCACGGTGAGTGGGGGCTCGCTGCTGCCCAGGTGCTGAGGCACTCACCTGGAGGGTACATAGAGACCCCCCAAAATCTTCCAGGGAGGCATCTGCTTTCCTGAGCCTGTTGCCTCCTCCTGTGTCCTCTAGACCTTCATTGAGATCTGCCAGAAGCTGCCAGAGACAAACGTGGGCACCCTGGTGACGGCCATCATTGCCATGGTGGTTATCTTCATTGTGAAAGAGCTCAACCACAAGTTTGCTGCCAAGCTGCCCATGCCCATCCCCATCGAGCTTATCACGGTACACAGAGCTGCCCCAGCTCCCTGTGGGCACGCAGCCATGGGTGGCTCTGTCACCTCCAGGGTGGGAAGGGGTGGGGTGGGATAGGGTACCTTGGTGAGCGTAGCTCCAGGGCATGCATCCCCTCCTCCTCCTCCATCATGGTCCTTGCACAGGAAGGCCCTGCCTCACTCCAGCCATCCTCCCCTAGATCATCGTCTCCACTGGCATCTCCTACGGCGTCAACCTGAATGCCAAGTTTGGCATCTCCGTGGTGGGCAACATCCCCAGTGGGTGAGTAGGGCTGGGAGGTGGGGGGGGCTGAGCCAGGGCACCGCACCACCCATAGGACCCCCCTTTTGAGCCCCGTCTCCCTGTCTTGGCTGTAGGTTGAAGCCGCCTGTGGTGCCTAACGTCAGCTACTTTGGGCAGGTGGTGGGCAACGCCTTCGCCATTGCCGTAGTGGGCTATGCCATCTGCATCTCCCTGGGCAAGATCTTTGCCCTGAAGCACGGCTACAAAGTGGACAGCAACCAGGTGATGCTCCGACGCACAGGGCCCCTTCCCCAGGTGAAACCCAAGCTTGTACTTCTTGCAGCCAGGGGAAGGCATGGTGCTGCCCCACTGCTGCTCTGTCCCTGCAGGAGCTGATCGCGCTGGGCCTCTGCAACTTCCTGGGTGGCTTCTTCCAGTGTTTCGCCATCAGCTGCTCCATGTCGCGGAGCCTGGTACAGGAGAGTACGGGGGGCAACAGCCAGGTGGGTCTGGGCAGCGCTGCCTCCCTCTGCAGGGCTGGAGTCGGGGCAAGGAGCGCAGCGCGTGGTGGAAGACTCACCCCTTGCCTCCTGCTCTCCTTCCCCTCAGGTAGCTGGTGTCATTGCATCCCTGGTCATCCTGGTGACCATCCTGAAGATCGGAGAGCTCTTCCGGGACTTGCCCAAGGTACATCTGGTCCCACAGCCTCTGTGCCATGTCTCACCCCTGTGCCCATTCCACAGCAAGGTGGTGTGGTAGGGGAATAGCCAAGGCACCCCCCCAGAACCACCCTCTGCATCCCCATAGCTGTAGGGACTTCTCTCCTAGGCCATCTTGTCTGCCATCATCATCATCAACCTCCACGGCATGTTCAAACAGTTTAAAGACATCTGCACGCTCTGGAAGTCCAACCGGGTGGACCTGGTAAGGTGCCGACCGGTCCCGGGGCTTTGCTCTTGTCCCTGGAGAGGGTTTTTCCACCCTCCCTGAGGCTTGCAGGTGACAGCGGGGAGGCTGTGCTGCAGCTGATGGTATCCCCTCTCCAGATGGTCTGGGTTGTGACATTCGTGGCCACCCTCATGCTGAACTTGGACATTGGTCTTGGGGCCTCGGTGGCCTTCGGGCTGCTCACCGTCATCTTCCGCACCCAGCTGTGAGTACCACAGGGCTGGGGCTGGTGCCGTGCCCCGAGGGCAGGGGAAGCCCGTGGTGACCTCAGATCCTTGCTCTGCTCTCTGCAGCCCCCACTACTCCATCCTGGGACGCATCTCCGACACCGATGTCTACAGGGATGTGGCTGAATACCAGATGGTAACAGCACCAGGGGGCAGGAGAAGAGCTGCCTGCAATTTTGGGGGGGGGTGGGGGTGGGTAGGGGTGGTTCAAAACACCCTCAGAGATTGTTCGCTGGGGAAATTTAGGGGTGGAATTTTGGGGAGCCAGGGGCATTTTGGGGAAAGGAGGGAAGGGGAGCAGGAGGCTCCATCCCTGGGGTAGCATCCTCCCCGTCTGCCCCCAGGCACAGGAGGTCCCCGGTGTGAAGATCTTCCGCTCCTCCTCCACCCTCTATTTTGCCAATGTGGAGCTGTATGCTGAGGCCCTGAAGAAGAAGGTAGGAGAGCTGCCAGACCCCCTGGTATTCTCTGTGCCCCCCACCTGCCTGCTCCAAGCTGGCGGTGGGGTGCCCGGGGACATAGTGCTGCGTTGTTTTGCAGAGTGGCATCGACGTGGACCGCCTGATCAAGAAGAAGAAGAAGGCTCTCAAGAAGCTGAAGAAACAGCAGAAAAAAGCAGAGAAGGAGAAGGCAAAGAGGAAAAAGGTGCTTCCCTGTTGTAAAGCACCTGTCCGGTGCCACCCTGCACTGTCTCCCTGCCTAGCCCTGGCCCTCCTGCCCATGCATTTGCCTCCTGGCTTGGTGGGCCATGGCATTCACGGTTCATTCTGGGGAACTGGGTTAGAAGAGAAACTGGGGCAGAGCTGGGCCACGGCATCACACCCAAGGGCAGTGGGGAAAGCCAGCCTGTTAATGATTAGGTGGTGGACCCAGTGAGTCATTAGCCATTTGGTGAGTTAATCAAACTTAAGAGTGAGAGCAAAGGCTGACCTGGTGCCAGCTAATGAGCCTGGCTCTGGAGAGGGTCAATGGGGAGAGGGGTGGGTCTCAACGCATCCAGGAAGAGCCCAAAAGTAGGTGAAGGTGCAAGGGAGGCACCCGCTCCCAGGGCCACCCACTGCCCATGCCCTAGCGCAGCCCCAAGCCCCACTGCTCTGCAGGGCAAGGGGAGCCCGGGGGGGGGCACTGCCCAGCCAGGGGTGCCTGCAGCCCCCATGCAGTGAGGTCGGGTCTCCTCCCCAGGCTGCAGAGGATGGGCTTAACGGTCCAGGAGTGTCAGTGATCGAGCTGAGCGGGGCAGAGGACAGCGCGCCCCCCGAGCCCACCCTGCGCACCCTGGGGCTGCCCCAGCCCAGCTTCCACGCTGTCATCTTGGACTTCAGCCCTGTCAGCTTCATGGACACTGTCTCCATCAAGATCCTGAAGAACGTAAGGGGCTGGGGGAGCAGGCGGGCCAGCAGCCTTGCTGGGGTCAATCCCCCGGGTCCTGCGGGGTGGCCTCATGGCTGCTGCCTGTCCCTCTTCCTGGGCCAAACATGGTTTCTGCCATTTGCAGATCTTCAGGGATTTCCGTGAGATAGAAGTGGATGTCTTCGTTGCCTGCTGCTCAGGTGAGGTGGCTCTGCAGAACCATCAGCCCCTGCTGAGCATGCCCACCCCTTCAGGACGCAGCTGCTAGCCTGGGGCCCCGCTGCCCTCCATGGTGTTCCCATCCCCTGGGCTTCCTTAGGGGACAGGTGCTGCAGGTTGTCCCAGGGACCCAGACTGAGCCCCGCAGCCCCTGGCAAGGCAGTTGGATCCCTGGTGATGGCCTCCATGCCCCTGCAGCGCAGGGGGAGGGAGGCTGCTCTGTGGGAGGGGTGGCGGGTTCAGCTGGGTGCTATAGCTTCTGATGTTTCTCCCTCCACACAGTGACTGTCCTTGCCCAGCTGGAGCGGGGCAACTTCTTCAGCTCAGCCATCACCAAGCACTGCTTCTTCCCCTCGGTGCACGACGCCGTGGTCCATATCAGCGAGGGGCCGCGCCAGGCCTCAGTAAGCACCCAGCCTCACCGTCCCCACCATTGTGAAGGGGAGGTTGAGGGGGGGGCAGTCGAACTGACCCATCTCTGTCTGTCCCCCTTAGGTGGACCACAGCACCAGAATGTAGCCCCATGAGAGGAAGACATCTCCTTGACGAGCTGGGCAAGCAAAGGGGGCTTTGCTGCCCTGATGGCACCAACTCACCCACCCTAGGGCCCGGGGGCCTTGTACCCCCACCAGCCCCTCAGGACTCTCGAGAGCCAGGGCCGTGCCCTGGCCGTGAGCTCCCCATGCGACCGAGCTGCTGCGGACCATCACACGGAGGGGCCCGCCGGGAGCCCCCGCTCAGCCCCACCATGGGCCCATCCCACCAGGCCGGGCCCTGGTTTGGGGGGTGGCAGAGGGACCCCTGGACCCAGCTGAGGGGGGCCCGCTCCCGGCAGCACAGTTAGCATCGCGGATAAACC